CTATGCAAATTTTTATTTTACCACTGCGATTCGTTAACGAAGAACGGATCTGGAGTTCCCCTGCAGGACGTTCAAGCAACAAATGAAAGGGCGGATGTTCAGGTTGGAGGCACTTACCACCGGAGCACTCATATGTACACTGCACGAACTGGTGTCAACTGGAAACATGCTCAGGCGCGTCTCTGTATTTCTGAGGCTCAGGCACGTCACTGTATTTCTGAGGTATCATTGGAGCATTGGTGCGGCGGCTGCCTTACCTTTGTATGGGCCCCGGTGAAGGTGGTAAAGGTTCTTTAGAAGCTCTTGCACACGTTCCAATGACGTTCTCAATCGTGGGTGTCTCTGCAATACGAAGAACGAACTGGCACCAACAGTTGTCTGTGAAACGTCAACCGTCAACTGGTGCTCTCCGATGTTAAGATGCGTGTCGTGCGTTATCTGTGTAGGACTACGCTTCGAAACGCTGCTTGATCGGGAAGTTGGACACTATGTCGTATCTCACAGCTAATTGAAGCCGTGGAAATTGATAGTATTGATTGGAGTATGCATAATGCGACGAATTGAGGTTTCCAATGGGTACAGAAGTTCGGTGTTGAACTCGGCGCACTGCACGAACTTGCTCGTTTCCCTGGTCTGCAATGCCACCTGGACCAGCAGCAGACGTGGAAGGTCTCGACTCAGGCACTTCTTGCACTTCAGAGGGTTTTGCAGGTGCCCCCTGTTGGGTACGTGAAGATCTTGGCCTCCTAAACCTCGACCAGATCGACCGCCGCCTTCGGATACCACTTCCTCCCAAACTGCTCCCTCCGCCGCAGGCGGCTTCCCCGTCGTCGGGCTCCTGTACATAGTGCAGCAAATACAGCGCGCAGCATGCGCATGTCAGATCCCCCTAATGAACAAAGCAATATTGCATCTTCCAGGCGTAAAACCCAAAGTAGACTTACACCCTGCAGCAGGGGTCGCTGGTCGCTATCATCCCATTCACCTCCTTCCGCCAATACCCTTGCAGAGGCCCTCCTGTTGACTGATAGTTCCACGGCGCATTTCATAACAAGGAAAACCAGGGCAGTAGCAAAAGCAACCCACAAGGCTGGTCGCCAAGTGGCGTTTTGGCTGCGGACTCGTCGACTGTATGAATACCTTTGGACAGCATGTTCGGCCTGCGAAGATGGATCTGCTTGCAAGGCTTCTGCATTAAACGCTCTGAAATCAATCGCTTTTGCTTCCATTGCCCCTACATTTGGTAGTCACGCGAGTGCTGCTTTACTGTAAGTCTGCACCGTGTGGCCGAGTACCCTGAGCCGCTGCAAGGCAAGCAGAAAGGTGAACACGTGCTTCAGTTCACCTTCGCCCAAGTCACACTTTGAATAAATGTTGCGAAAGACAGCTCAGTTGCGCAGGGATAAAAGGCGGAAGCTCCCCGCTCTTCCTGTTCATGCTGCAACTGGAGGCCAAAATCACGGAGAAGTGAAGTTTCAAGACCTTACCCTTGGCAAAGCGTACGGTTGCCCACTTGAAAGGATCCTTTTACAGCACCATACGCGCCTCAGACGCGCTTGCAGGGGTCAGAAGCGTAGAGAGTTTGACTGATGATTGAGACGCTAACGACTAGGCGCAACTACGCCGCTCACAATACCGCCCATTGGCATTGGCGCTGTCTATGCTACTCCGAGGGTTCACACAATTCTTTTGAAAATTTCCGAAAATTTCCATTGTATACCTAGAGAGCACGGAGTAGCTGTACAACAAGGAAGGGGTTCGCAGGGTCAAGGTCAGGATCGCTGTGCGCTGCGCCGACACTCCCCTCGAGGCCGTCGAACGATATGTTACAGCAAAGCAAATGCAGTCTCGTGAGGTCTCAGGCCTTAGTTATCCACTGCAGGTGAGCAAAGTATGACGTTTTTCGTTATTTAATATGAACTATACATCGATTCCAAGCACTGCATTTGCTTCCCTTGTCGTATTCCTGAGGGGTGATGGTCTCAAGCGAAAATTTTAGCATTGTCTCTCCGAAGTTAGCACAAGTGACCTTGGTATGCTGCCTGCAAGCAAATACATATGCTTAGCAAGTGTTTACATTGATAATGCAGGCAGCTTGGTTGTGCTTGCGTGTGAGGTTGTTTTGCATGTTTTGCATCAGTTGTTGCAACGAGATGCGCGGTGTAGCGAGAAAGTTCGGTAGTATCCGAGAACAGTCACGATATGAGTGGGAAGCAAAAAGGCTTGGTTGTGCGTGCATGCGTAGTTGACTTGCACCAGGAGTCGCTGTGGGAAGCGCCAAACTTAGGGAGGGCGCCAACTCGCCCTGCCGAGCACGTGATCCTCTGTCGCCTTGCTGTACGTGGAGGGCGACGGGAGTTCAACTGCATTGCAAAGGAAAACACTATACTTAGGTAAAAAGGCTTGGCAGAGCTCGATGGCCGTAGGCCGCAGACTGTTACACTACGTTATACGTGGCCATCAACCTAGACAGTCGCAGATTTGAACGTGAGACGCTGTTGCTCAACCCTTCCACGTTATCCGCGATATATTATACGTCTCGGACAATCCCTTTCCTTGGCGGTTAGACGACGCATCAGCTTGCACGAAGCAGCCTTGTCGCAATACGGCTTTAGCTCCGCCCTGCCGTTTGAAGTGTTTGATTAACACTGTAACGTCCGCTTATATATTATTTTAGGATAGTCTTCCGCATATTCAATCTAGACACCAGGGTCCGCTGCCATCCAAGCATCCGAGATTGTGCGAGCGCGAATTTGCAAAATATGAAAGCAAAACTACCGGAGCCATTGATAAGGCGAAACGGGACAACAACGGATAACGAGCGAGTTGTGAAAGTTGCACGACAGTCAGCACTGAAAACTACGTAGCCACCTATCCCATGA